AGTCTGCCGTTTGGATAGTAGACGGAGTGGCAGCAGTTCGCTCCATCAAACCGATGCCAACGTACCGAGCGCGGATGCACAGCCTTATCAAATTTGTTGCTCCTGAAGCTGGGTATAAGTTGGTGAACCTGGGCTAAGAGGTCATTTAGAAGTGTATTACCAAAACACGTTGCAAGGATTTAAATGCCGTGATCTCCTGTATCGAAATTAGAAGCAAATTGATTTTATAAGACTGATTTCTGAAGGAAGACACATTGGGCTTTTGCTTTTCTCCATGTAAAACGCAAGTGGTTCCCATTTCGGAAGAGATGTTTGCCTTAACCTACAGGCTTTACATGCTTTATCTGGGTGTAATTCTAAATCCTATTTCCGCAACGTAGGAAAGGTAAGGTTGCTGAAGACAGTCCGCGATACCTTGAACTGCTTGACAGCCTTGGAGAAGAAAAAGTGGTTAGTGATAGCGATATAGATAATTTGCAGAAGTTTGTTCAAATGGTAATGTATTCTGGCAAGGTCAAGAGAAGCTATGTGGAAACAAGACGAAGAATAGAATGGATGAAAGTAACATTAAACTACTTCCTGATTCACATTCCTAGAAGATAGCCATTCTGAGAGCGCGCAGGCAAACCTACTGCTGGTTGCGTTGCGTAAAACCGTCCGTCAAGACTTTTTTTCGAAATTTGTGGCTGGAAGGGTCTTCTAAAGTATCTTCCTTGAAATCTTTTTGCTTCACATGCCCCCTGCTGCCTCCTTTTTTGAAGTCAAGACGGAAAAACAAGAGCCGACTTTCAGAAAGTGTTTGGGCAAATGGCGAAAGTGGCAGTGAAAATCTCCCTACTCCAAAGAAATGCAAGAGATGTACAGAGGTGCCGAAAAAGGCCCGTAGTGTCGACGAAATCAGTGCTAGTAACGAATACAAGGAAACAACAGACCAGGTAGACTCTCACCTAAGTAGCACTGAACATTCTGATGAACTAGAGAGTGAACGGGAAGTTTATGACTTTATTTCGTCGGAGGATTCGGGCGGTAAATGGATTTGAGGCGAATATATACAGTAAATCCTCGAATTAGTCCCCTGGGGGCTTATTCATTTCTTATATTTTTGGATGGGGGCTTATACGAGAGGTGGTTATAAAATTATTGTAGACATTAAGAAGACATTAGTAAACGATCCAGAAATGCGTTTGATTAGATCAGAGCTTTTGTCTTAAAATGTACTGTTCGACGGCCATTTTGCAAGTGATGACGCCATCATTGAAAATTGCTGACATCGTTAAAATAATGATATGTAT